GACCCAGCCGCTCTGCATCCTCCAGGTCTTAGTTTGTAGCTTAGGACCCACTGCTTTGTGAACTGCGGTCCCTAACTGCGAGTCTATGGAGCTACTGGTGTTTAAAGGTTCCATCTTCATTAAAGCGTGTATCACCATAAACATCTCATTCAAAGATGTACCCTTGTCTTTTTTAACTTCCTGTTTCCTAGTCAATCAGTGCTGATATACAATTTCCCCCCAGGTTTATAACCATAGCTTATTTAAGTGCACTGCAAATATTTAAGTATGATGAAAACAGATATGGAAAAAATTAAAACATATGCATCATCTCTGGACTCCGTGCCAATGAAAATGACCAGTTTACTAAACCAAATTTATATTCTAAATAATTTGTAATATTAATAACTTTTCAACCAGTGATATATAAAGTTACAATGACTATGAACAGTCCCTCTTTATGTTTTAAAAAAGTGGAAATTGATAACTTTTATTATATTAGTTCCATAATCCAAATTCTTAAATAATATTAACTAATAAACTATGCATAAGGAAAAGCTCTCTCTCTCTCTAACGAGCTCTCTCTATATATATGTGTGTGTGTGTGTACACACACATACACAATGATTCATTTAGTTTCTTCATTTTTAAAAAATAATTTTTACTGGTGTCTCTTACAGCTCTTATAACAATTCATACATCCATCCATTGTGTCAAGCACATTTATACATATGTTGCCATCCTCACTTTCTAAACATTTTCTTTCTATTCAAGCTCTTGATATCAGCTCCTCATTTTTGTCTCTCCTTCCCTTCTTAAACCTTAATAATTTATCTTTTTTTTTTCATGGATTCATTTAGTTTCTTCATTAGGCTTTAAAAGGAAAACTCACTCTGATCATCCTTCATTGCACCAATCAAAATATCTGAAGACTCTATAATAATGGAAAAAACGACTGCCTTCAAATCTCTTTCGGCGCTTGACTACAGCTTACATTCTTACTCTCATCTCTACCCTCTATGTCTCACCTACCACCAGCATTACATCACGTGTGGGCCTTCTGCCTGAGCCATCCTGGCCTCTCCTAATCCACCTCCAGACTGTGCGGTCATGCTGCTTTCCCATCAGTGCACCTGACCCAACATTTCATTTTTCTTTAACTCGTAAGAAATTCTTCTATGTAAATTTCCTTACTTTCAAGTAAAGAAGTGAACCAATTGCTACCTCCTTTATGTTTGCAAGATGCCTGGTGTGGCTGTGGGTTAGGTGCTGGGTTGCTGTCAGGTCAGTGGTTCAAACTCATGGTTCAAATCTACTTGGCTCTCAGCGAAAGGGTTATTACTATGAGTCAGAACCATGCATTGTATTTATTTCAATTCCATTTCCAATTCCTTTCCATTCCATGTTCTAGTATTATGGGAAAGGAAATCAAGCCTTTCATATGTAAGTTCAGCTTGAAGCTGAAGAAAATTAAAAATAAGCCCACAGATCCGAGTTATGACCTAGTCTATCCCCTCAGAATTTTGAGAGCACCTCAAAACCAGATTGGACACATTGGACAGTAATGATAGAACACCTCATGAGCTGCAGGACCACTTCAAGACCATCCTCCATGAAGAAAGCAAGAGGTCATAAAAAGACAGGCAAGAAAGAAAAGATCAAAGTGGATGTCAGAAAAGACTCTGAAACTGGCTCTTACTCATAGAGTAGATAAAGCAATTGAAAGAAACGATGAAGTCAATGAGCCAAACAAAACTTTCAAAGGGCAACTTCAGAAGAGAAAGTAAAATATTATCATGAAATGTGCAAAGACCTAGTGCCAGGAGACCAAAAATGAAGAATGCACCAGCCTCTTAAACTCTGGAAGAACTCAAGAAAATATTCCAGGTTTCAGTTGCAATATACAAAGAGTCTATGGCAAAATATTCAGTGATGTAGGCAGCATCGAAGGAAAACGGAAAGAATACACAGAATCACGGTCCCAAAAAGAGCTAGTCAACACTTAACCATTTCAAGAGTTACCATATGAGCAAGAACCAATGGTAGTGAATTAAGAGGTCTGAGCTACACTGGAAGCATTAACCAAAACCAATTCTCTAGGAATTAATGAAACACCAACTGAAAATTTCAACAAGCTGATGAAGCACTAGAAGCATTCACTCATCTGTGCCAAGAAATGTGAAGAGCTGCTTGGCTGCTTGGCCAACTGAATGAAATAGATCAATATCCGTACCCATTCCCAAGAAAGGTGACTCAACAGAATGGCCAAATGATAGGACAATATCATTGAGATCACATGCAATTTAAATTTTGCTGAAGATCATCTAACATAGACTGCAGCAGTACATTGATAAGGAGCTGATAGAGGTTCAGGCCAGATTCAGAAGAGTGCATGGAACAAGGAATATCTTTGCTGATGTCAAATGGAGCTTGGCTAAAAGTGGAGAATACCAGAAAGATGTTTGTTTTCAATACTCTTTAGAGTACTGTAAAACAAGCATGTTACTTTGAGGACTACAGTGCGCCTGACCCAAGCCATGGTATTTTCCATTGCCTCACATGCATGTGAAAGTTAGACATTGAATAAGAAAAATTGAAGAAAACTACATCCATATGCATTGTGGTGCTGGCAAAGAACATTGGACATACCATGGACTGCCAAAAGAACAAAGAGATCTCTTGCAAGTACAACCAGAATGCTCCTTAGAGGCAAGGATGGTGAGGCTTCCTCTCACATACTTCAGACATGTTATCAGGAGACATCAGTCCCTGGAGAAGGAAGTCACGCTTGCTAAGGTGGAGGGGTAGTGTAAAAGAGGAAGGCCTTCAGTAAGATGGATTGACACAGTGGCTGAAACAAAGGGCTCAAACATCTGAACCATCATGAGGATGCTCCAGGACCTGGCTGTGCTTCATTGTGTTGTCCATAGGTTCACTATGAGTCTGAACCAACTTGATGGCACCTAACAACACCCTTACAGGTTGGCACATTGCCCTAATTTGACAGATGAGAGTCAGAAGAGCCAAATGCTTCTCCCAAGTTCATTATACTTTTCTATCTCTCGTAAAGGAAAACCTCATAGAGAATCCTCTTAGGAACTTGACGCAGAAGAGAGACATGATCAGATTAATGCCGAAGTCAGATACTTAAAGGAAAGGGAGTAATGTTGAGAACACCTTTTTTATGGAGAAGATATAAAAACTATTTTTACTGAGGGACAGAGGCATGGATAAGACAACTACTAGGAGTAAATAGCAGCAAGCCAGGAGAGAAATGGTAAAGTCCTGAGACATAAAATAATGGGATTTAATCAAACAATGTATGTGATCCAATAGTTGATATACAAAAGAAATATAGATGATAGAAAATGAAAAGTCTAGGGCAATATTTAACATTCTGCTTGAAATATATGAATGTGAAACCAGGTTCCATGGGAAATTCGGAAAAGAATGAAACCGTATCATACTGTATACATAGTTGTGCATCCAATTCAATTCCAGTGCCTTTCACTGAAACAAAAACAAAACCCTCACTGCCGTTGAATCAATTCCAACTCACTGCGACCCTATAGGTAGACATAGGATAGAACTCCTTTTGTGGATTCCCACATGTGAATCTCCACAGGGCAGAAATCCTTCTCTCTCTCCTGCGAATGACTGGTAGATTCAAATTCTGGACCTTGAGGTTAGCAGGCAAATGCATAACCCACCATGTCACCAATTGGGGTGTTGTGTGTGTGTGACATGATATTTTAATGATCTTATTTCGACATATTGTGTCTTCTGTTTCATCTCTGATACAGGAACTGAAAAGTAAATTTCAAAAGGTCTGACACTGCTTTCTTAACTAATAATTATAGCAGTGGTTCTCAACCTGCCTAATGCTGCGACCCTATAATACAGATCCTCATGTTGTGGTGACCCCCTTTGAAAGGGTCGCTCCACCCCCAAGGGGGTCATGACCCACAGGTTGCAAACCGCTGGATTATAGAATAGTTACCAGTTATGCTTTGTTATAGAACAAATGCTCAGATTTTCCTGACTATGTTGTCTGCAGATTCATAAAGCAGGTGTGTACCATGCTAGCTAGGGTAGGAAAGGGAAATGTAACACTGCCCCTTCGACTCTTAGTATCTGTAACCCCCTTCTGTCCAGCTAATTGTATAAATTAGTTAAGTAAATGTCAATCTAGATAGAAAAATCATTAACTGGAAACAGTACTGCTTCATGAAAAGAAAAGATTCTTGTCACAATGCTGCAGTGCTTTTACACTCTTCTTTAAAATGTACCTGTTGCTCGATGTTAAGTAAGTCATGAGAGACCTTTGCATTAAATGTAATCTGCATGTTTAAACTTTGTTATTTTTGCCACAGACTTTTCTCTTGTTTTATTGATAAAAGGAGGGACCCTCTCTGGAACAGATACTTACCAATCTTTGGTCAATAAAACGTTTGGCTTTCCGGGATATCTTCTCCTCTCTGTTCTACAATTCCTGTATCCTTTTATAGGTAAGATAATAGTAAGGGGAAATATTGAAGTTATTTGTGTATGTGTTTGCATATATATCTATATATGTAGATATATGTAGATATACCAGTTTCTGAATAAAACAGTTTTCATTGCCATTAAATAGTCATTAAGGAAAATGACCACTACATATTTTCCAAATTGGTTACTACATTAACCACTTCCTTGCTTTTTTATTATTCTTATTTTTTAATGAGGATGATATTCCTTGGGTTAAAGCACAACTTCCTTAGCATGATGTAAAAGTGAATGAAAATAATAGATTTCTTCTTAAGCTTAAGACATTCTTTGGAAGCCTAAGCATTTTTGGAAGTCGTGTGCAAACTCACCATACTATTTACAGGATTCCTCAGGGCATAGAGGACATTCCTCTTCATAAAGACTCCGTAGGAGGGGGCGCACTGCCCCTCTGGGTGGCTGAGACTTTCCATCTTTACCAAAGCAGGCAGCCTCCTCTTTCTCCAGGGGAGAAGCGGGGGCCTTCAATCTGAGTGGTCCACCACGTCACCAGGCCTCCCAAAGTTTGTGTTGTGACAGCAAAAATATTACTGAGTTGTTAAATAGATAAAATGTTAATATTCTTCAATAACTGAATTGACTTCATCTGAAAAATCAGAAAGTACCACAGAAGCCATTATTCAAACCACTCGTTCTTTATGTCCTCACAAAGTCTAATATATTTCCCCTCAAAAGCCATGTTTTTCCAGTGGAGGGAATAGTTTAGGGCCTTCACAATTTTCTGTTATTATTATTCCATTATACTTGGAAAAGTGCATAAAAGCTTAACCCTAGCAACAAAATAATATTTGAAATGACACCTTCATTACTTAAAGATACTCTAAGTGAATCAGATTACAAATTGACAATATTTTTGTAATACAAATTAGTACTCTCCTTTAAGTCTATTGTCTAGTTATTCTTTTAAATGGTACATATTGGTAATCACAATATATATTTGAAGGTAGTAAGATTGTGCCAATATTTGGGAGGTGATAACTGATTACTTTTCAAAATATTCTGCAAATATGCACTTACTTGTGACTATTATTTTAATCATAACTATTTCTTTTAGCCATGATAAGTTACAACATAATAACTGGAGACACTTTGAGTAAAGTTTTTCAAAGAATCCCAGGAGGTAAGTCCAAATGAAATTTTGAGTATTTAAACATTTATTGTATTAATTTTATTTGTTTTTACTTTGAGAAAAATTTTCAGAGTTTTTAGAGAACATTGAACAGAGATCTATACACTTGCATAACACTATATAAATCTATAATGTGCATCTTTTTAAGATTTAATTTTTGAAGTTATCAAAAACCATTTTGTTATTTTTATTGATTTACAATTATACAAATAGTCTCTAAAAGGGTGTATATATACATATACACACTTCATCAAAGTGAAAACATCATAGATAAGGCTAAAGCTTCCTATGAAATATCCAACCTGCTAATTAATTTTATAATCATCGAAATGATTTTTTAAAGTGAAATCACATAAACAAAAAACACGACTTTGTTTGTGTCAGTGTTTCTTCCCTCTCGGTAACTGTGATGGTGTAGAATGCATGCTTTTATTTTCTGTCTTCTTAGGGATCATATGATGCCAGAATACTTGTTAGCAGTGGATAAAATCCTCCATTCTTCCTTTCTCTATGAAATACATCACGAATGTCTTAGGCCGGCAAACGGACAGTTGTTTATATGTACCTTTCCCAGTTAATTAAAGTCCTGGTTATTGATATAAAACAAAATACTGAGAAATGGGGTGAACAGTGAGGTATTAGATTATTTACATTTTTGCAATGTGGTCACTCTACTTTACTTTGTTTTGAACATTTAAAATTCTTATTAAAATGTATCTTTGTTTGAATATCCATTTAAGTAATAAAAAGAACCAAACCCATTGCTATCATGTTGACTCCAACGCATGGTGGCCCTTTGTATTTGCAGAGGACAACTGCTCCCTGGGGACACATCTGGCTGTGCAGAAGCTGCGATTTTATGGCACCATTGAGTGGACTTGAACTGCTCCTCTTTAGCTTAGTAGTGCAGTGAAAACGGCTTGTTCCTCCCACGTGTCCTCATTAGATCACCAGGGAAAATGCGAATGGGGATCTCATTCTTCTAGTCTCACTGGTGTTGATGTTCTTCTACCTGCTGCTGTCAGTCCGCTGGGACTCAGCACTCCTCTAAGACAGCATTTCCCAGGCCGCACATCTGTCAGCGAACAGACAGCCCCGCCTTCCTTCCACAGAGCATCTTGTGAGCTGACTCAGTGACCATAGCTCCTCCTTCGCAGCCCTGTGCCTAACCCACAGCCCCACACGTGTCCTTCATGGTTTTCTAGTTTTATCATTTTCCCAGTGAAAGAAAAATATATTTTCTACTAAAATTATCAGGAGAGAATCAAGGGGTTGGGAACTTGAGATTCCGTTTCCTAGTTTAGTGCTTAGTTCTGGCTGAGTTAAACAACACCCATGATTAATCTCATTCAGTCTTCTTCTATGGGAGTGACACACTGATGACATTTTCATAGGGCTGTCTTCGTCTTTTGCAATGAGCTTATGAGCCTTGTCCAGAGACTTGTCTGGTTCAAAGTTAAAGTTCTCTCTCTTTTCTTGAACCACAATTACTTATTTGACAGACTTGGGTTCTATAACTTCAGACTTCCTAGAATTGGCTCCCAGAGATCAGATACAGCTGAGGAAGTTAAAAAATAATAATAACATGATATCTGAAAACCTCAGTAAATCAAACAATAATGTCGTCATTGGACAATATATATAATCTTAAGTGAATATTTGGATGAGTACGATTTTTGCAGTTTATAAATATCGTTACTTTCTTTTAAATTTTCTGTTAGTACATAATTACTTTTAAAATACATTTTTAATGATAGCCTCCAATTGCTGAGCAAGCTAACATTAACACAAACTAAAAATTTCCGCATTGATTCTAAAATCTCTAGGGCAATAAAGGATCTCCTGTGTCAGGTTCCCAAGCTGACTTTCCTCTTTCTTGTTAGAAAAGCACTGAGACACTGGAAGCTTCGACAGTTAAATTATTCTTATAAGTAAATATCTTATGAGAGTTGGTTTTCCTCACCACAGTCCACAGAGCTAATAAGGTGTACTGTTGCCTTAAACAGTTCAAAGGGAGAAAATATTTATATTTAGATAGTTATTAAATTAATTGTAATAAACTTATTTAACCCCAAAGTAATTATATTCCTGAAACTTTTTAATAGGAAATTAAAAATTAAGTACAGTTACAAATAATATATGCCAGTTCATTAAAAGTATCTCAAGTGAACTCCTAAAATTATTTAAACATTCAGACTTTAATCACAGAGCATAACATTTCAGTTAGCAAATAAATACAGTACATTTTTTATCTAATCAGGGCAGATCTTAGTGAGTATCAGTTACATAAGTAATTTTTTGTTCCCTATGAGTTTCTGAGGCAATCTGACAAAAATTATCTCACAAATTGGATTTGTTTTATTCATAGCCTGAAAGCAATGGGTTTTTTGAAATATCTGTTGACTTTTCCCAATTTTGTGATTTGAAATTATATTCAGTTGATGAGTATTGGAAATACAGTGTCTACATGAGACGTCTCTATTCAGTCGACACTTATTAAGGAAAACAAGCACAAGGGCAAGTGGCCCTATCACCCAGCTGATGGGCAACTGCTGTTTCTTTCGTTCATAACTCGAGAGATAGAAGTTGACGAGGAAAATCAATGGTTCTCTATTCATACTGTTAGATATTAAAAATATAAACACAGTCTTTGTGTATATTCTAAAATATCTTTAAAAGAAATATAAGAAAACAGTTAGCTATTAGTTTACTCTTCCTAGAATCAAACAATAAACTAAATATATATTCTTATGGTTAAGTATAATAAAATGTATAATATAGTGCAATATTTCCCATCTCCAAATATGAACCTCTATGACTCTACCATCCATCTAGATAAATCCAAATTTCTTAGCAAGATAATAAATCCCTTTATGATATGCCCCTCTCCAAGTTATTTCTACCACTTAATCTCCTAACACCCAGCAATGCAGCCATAAGAATTATAATGGTCACCACTCGTTGGACATCTATGGGAGCAGACACACATCACAATTTCAGTCAACCTGCAAAACTCCTAAATTATTCTCTTGCAACCATTGAGATTCTCAGTCTCAGAGTTCTCTAATTAATAACTCAACGCTCCATATCCAACAAGCAGTGGATGTACGATTCAGCCCATCATGGCTCTTTCTGCCTCCACATCATTTCATACACTTTTCCAATCCTTCCCTTTAATTCATCCAATTTGCATATGCCTTAAAGAACTCAAACCAGCTTGAAGGCCTTACGCCCTACTGTCACCTCTTCCCTGCCCTCACATTGACATATGGATCATATGTCCCTAAAGACTGAGGTGGTTATTGGTTGGCCTGTGGGAGCCTGTCTCTGCTTCCTATTGACCAGAAAGTACAGACTATACGAGAGAGGCAATCACGATCAAATAAATACAGGTTTTCTGAGGTTACAAGGTGAACTACACGTGATAATCAATTATAAATTATTCATAATACTTGGAACTTAACAATTCTAAAAACAATGGCATAAAAACCCCAAGGGGGGAAAAAAAACCTTCTTTTGAGAGAGTAATTTAAGACAGTGAAAGAAAATTATAGGCTTAGCTCTAAATCCCATTGTTAATTAGATATTTACTCTTTTGAACCTTTATGTATGTCTTATATAAATAATTCATATGTAAATTAAACTGGGTATCAAATGACTGTGAGATGAGATTTTGAGAGAAAATATTCTATAACAAATTGTCTAATAGTTACCAAGCACTTAATTATGTTGGTTAATAAAAACTACTTTTTATATACCCAAAAGACAAGAAAACAAGTACCCACACAAAACTCAGTACTTGAATGTATAGTGGGATTGTTTGCAATAGCCAAAAGATAGAAACTCAACCCAAATGCCTATGAACAAGCAAATGGTGAAGCAAAATGTAATATACCCATTTATATAATGAAATATTATTTGACGTTAAAATAGAAATACTGATAGACACTACAACATGGATGAATCTTGAAACCGTTATGCTAAGCGAAAGAAAACAAATTGCAAAATGATTTTTAAAAGAAACCATCGCAAAGGGCCACCTTCTATATGATGCCCATTCACATGAAATGTTCAGAGTGAGGACATCCATAGAGACAGACATGAATTGGTGGTGATGGAGAGCTTGGGAGAGAACGAGGTAGACCGAGAGATGACCCCCAACAGCACAGGACAGATCTTAAATATAGGACTATCCAAGACTGGATAGCAGTGGTTCTCAACCTTCCTAATGCCACGACCCTTTAATGCAGCTCCTCATGTTGTGATGACCCCCAGCCATCAAATTATTTTCGTTGCTACTTCATAACTGTAATTTTGCTACTGTTATGAATCGGGTAACTCTTGGGAAAGGGGCGTTCGATCCCCAAAGGGGTCGCGACTCACAGGCTGAGAACCACGGCTCTATCGGGTATTCCACCTTGCAGCAGCTTCCAAGTTGCTTCTGCCGACTTTCCTTCAGAGAAAACACTTCTTTCTTGACAAAAGAGTAGAAATATAATAAACATTTCATCTAAACCTTTGATTTTGGAAATTTCACTCAAGTTTATTGCCCTGGGTTTTAGAATACAGTACCAAAAACTCAAACTCATTGCCATCAAGTTGACACCAAGTCACGGTGACCCTCTCCCACAGGGTGGAACTGGCCCTGTGAGTTTCTGAAACTGCAGCTGCAGGAGGAGAAAGGAGGAGAACTCTCCATCTGCCCCCCATGGAGCCACTGGTGGTTTCCGCCTGCAGCCAGCACGGAGCCCCCACAGCACCAGGGCAGTGCTCTGTCCTCATGCAGCTAGGGCTCTCACAAGGGCATTGTCATTGCCATTGAACATGAGCTCTGATAACAGTCTGACTGAGAAGTGTATTTTAAGAGGACAGTGGAAGGAAGAAGCAGAACAATGATTACAATGATTGGGTTTTCTCTGTTTTATTCTGTTGTGGTTGTTGGGTTGTTTCGGGGGAGAGATGTTTTGATTTTGTATGTTTGTCTGTCTATGGAATCCATGATAGGTAAATCTATAGCGAAAGCAACTGCATTAGCAATGTCCAAGGGGCGTGGCAGGGGCTAGCTGGGGGGAAAGGGGAAGCTAACAATAATGAGGACAAGAAGAAAAAATGTCCTAAATTGGATTGTGGTGATGATCACAAAACTCTTTTGAATTGAACTATTGAAATGTAGGATATGGGAAGTATATGTCAATAAAACTTGTAAAAAATAAATAAAATAATTGGAATATAGTATATTAAAACATGATTTGAAGTATTGGGTCACTTTTGAAAGTTTCTGTAAGTACATAGTTTTACATCATTTTATGTAAGTTATTTAATACTCTAGGTGGTATTTAGTGTGGTTTGGGTCACTTCGATAATGAGCCATGGGCTGTTTGGGGCTTGTTACTGAAGCGGTCCTTATCCCTGTAAATGTGTCTGATCCTTACTGTGTTCCAGTTGACCCTGGGAACGTGTTTATTGGTCGCCACTTCATCATTGTGCTTTCCATGGTTGCCTTTAATCTGCCTTTGTCATTGTACCGCGATATAGCAAAGCTGGGAAAGGTAATTGTTACTTTTATTTTTTTTAAGTAAATCATTTTATGGGGGGCTCTTACAGCTCTTATAACAAACCTTACATCAATTGTATCAAGTACATTTGTACATATATTGCCATCATTATTTTCAAAACATTTTCTTTCTATTTGAGCCCTTGGAATCAACTCCTTTTCCTCCCTCCCCTACTCTTCCACCCTCGTGAACCCTTGATACATTATAAATTATTATTATTTTCATACCTTGCACCATCTGCTGTCTCCTTCCACCCACGTTTCTATTGTTTGTCCTGGGGGGGGGGGCAGGGGGCAAGGGAAAGGGTGTTAATACATTGACCCTTGTGAATCATTTCCCCCTTTCACAGCATTGCTCCTTGTTATGTGAATTATATCTCCATATTTGTTGAATTCCTGCCAATATGACAAAGTCTGAATTACAGCATTTATTTTCACTTCAGGTGATTTCTTATTATGTTAGCCTAGAGGATGTTGACTCAGTTGCTTGTTTTTTGGAACAGATGGTTAACTAGTTGGAGGGGAAAAATGAGGACCTAATACCGGGGGCTTAAGTGGAGAGGAAATGTTTTGAGAATGATGAGGGCAATGAATGCACAAATGCGCTTTACACAATTGATGTATGTATGGATTGTGATAAGAGTTGTATGAGCCCCTAATAAAATGATTTTTAAAAATTAATTAATTTAAAAAAAATTTTAAATAAAAGGAAGACTCGGTGCACTCAGAAAGCGCATTTTCAATTTAAAAAATAAAAAGAATTAGAAAGCCAATCTAATCTATTGGTGAAAATTCCACTCTTCTTTATAGTAGTGTAAAATCAAACGAACTCCAAGCAGTAGAGATGAATCACTTCACAGAGTTCCAAAGTTTTTATGATGAATTATAAGGTCTATTGCTTTTCTTTTCATCCAATGAATTTACAGGTCAGTGAACTGACTATTAAGAATTTATTTAACAATTATGATTTTTGTTGCAAAAGAGAAATGTTGAACTTTTGCTAAAACAACCAAATAATTATATAGACCACCATATGTTTATTTTCACAGGTT